TTGACATACTAGCCCTGTGAGTCATAGGGAGTAAGTTTTCAAATTGAGTAGCTGCAATCTTCCAAGCCTCAATCCATACAACTTTCAAGTTGGACCCTGATTTTTCACAAACATGCCAAAAGTCTGAATGTTTCTGTCAGTTCTCTTCTCCTTTCTCTGAATACCTAACTTACTGACACTACAGCTAACAAAACCTTGCAATCCTGAGTTATAGCTAGCTACCTATGCCACAATTTCAAGGAATTCTCTTCCTGTGTGATGTCAGACAACCACAATGTAATCTGTGTTCACTAAAATCCTGGGACTTCACATTGTGATGTGTCAGAGCCTGAATGTGTGTATTACTCCACAGCCCTGGAAATTATGCCCCGATCCTTGCCTCAGTAAGAGAGACAGCAATGAACACCCACAGCATGGAAATGGAACCAGGAGAGAAAGGAGCTTCTATGGGTGCTTCCGTTTTCACACATAACCCTTACAGTAATTATTGTGCACCATGAATACACATTTTGGCAATAATAAGATGATCTTGCATGTTTACTTTTCACCATTGACATTAGATTCAGCTAATTTTTGTCCACTCTCTATCTCTTTTTTAAACTCTGCTTTCATTTTACCATCATAGACATGGAAGCAGGAGAGAAAGGAGCTGCTATGGGAGCCTCCGTGGTCACATATAACCCTTACAGTAAGACATACAGAGCTTGTATACATAGTTGGAAACTTTGGTGGTGGAAAATTATTGTTGACGATGAATGCGCATGTGATTTGTTCACTATAATAGGTCAGCCAGTGCCCATGAAGGCATCTGATGATTCATCGAGCTCCCTACAAGTCCCTGGGTCCAGGAACAGAGTCCCCACACATCATATAAGGGAATTAGCCAGGGGGAAGTTCCTTCTCAACATTGATGACATCACATTATTGGACTGCATTGGAGAAGGTTCGAGTATTATATCATTGACTTCCTCTGAACTGTCAAGTGTGCTTACGCAGCATTCATAATTACTAGGAATGCGCACGCGCATATTTTGCCTTGCGCCTGCCAAGCCAATGCGTACTGTAAACAGTCCGACTGAGGCCGTTCGTGCGCGCGCTCTACTGACTGCGCACGAAGCCAGACTTCCTACGAATCTGCGCGCACGCACGGCGGAAGCTACTACTTGCGCTCGGCAATTATAATCTTCAGCAATCTTGCCCTTTTTGACCCTAGCTGTGCCCGTTAATACCCCCACAAACCTGCTTATGTAACTTACATCTCTGTAAAAACACACGCTGCTTGCTACGTATATTATATGTAATATTTATTCTCTCTTGCAGGGGAGTTTGGGATAGTCTACAGAGGCAGAGTGGGACTTACAAAGAGGGACGTGGCCGTGAAAACACTGAAAGGTAGAGAATGTAGAAAAACATGGTTTACTTACTCATCCACTGTTTCTGCAGGTGAATTTGACCAGGATGAGGTTGACAAGTTTGTGGAGGAGAGTCTGAAGATGGGTCGATTCAAGCATGCTCATGTGATGGGTCTCATTGGAGTCTGTCTCGACGCTGGCTCTGCCCCTTACATCATCATGCCTTATATGGCCAACGGGAGTCTTTTGAAGTACCTCAAGAAAGAGAGAAAGAACATTGTACTCTCTGAGGAAGCTGATGAAGATGAGGTGATGAGTTTATGTACAGATTATGGAGAATTCCATTGGTCAAATTTTGTTGGTTGGTATATACATGCTGCGAATATCCTTGTTGTTTTGCCAGTGTTTGTGTGCTACAGTAACAAATGCTTTTTTCCACATTTAAAACAGTACTAGATAACCGTTACAGCTACCTAACCTGTAGTGTTTACTTAAAATATTCCTAGAGGGACTAGTTTTTCTCTGTTCCAGGTGAAAG